AAAAATAGAAAAAATAAAATAAAAAAAAAGCGTATACATGTAATAGAATATTCATTGAAAAGGGGATGGACAATATGTCCAAATTATATTAGTTAAGTAGACATAAGTGAGCATGCCGCATGTTTGCATGATAAAATATAAAAGGCCGCACTGAGTGCACAAACAAATGTATATAACAAAACTTAAAAAAAAGTCAAACTAAATAATGGCATGGGCATACGCCTATGGAGTAATTGTATTAAAAAAAATAAAATAAAAAATAGATGCATGCCATACCAAAAATATCACTCGCACCGTTGCCTCATCATCATCATCATCAGCCTATTAATGTCCCCACTGCTGGGGCACAGGCCTTCCCTATGGATGGAATAGGGAGATTGGGCCATGACCCATCACGCGGGCCCAGTGCGGATTGGTGGGTGCTAACGACTGCAGATGCAACCGGGACCAACGGCTTAACGTGCCTTCCAAAGCACGGAGGAGCTCGAGATAGTAAATTTTTGGTCACCCATCCAATGACGCTTGTTTGTTGTTGCTTGTTTAAACACCCTTTGTTTTAACATAAAAAAGGCCTGTGATCCGGAAGTAGGGAAATTAGTTGACTAATGATAAGTATGAAGTGTGCGTGTGTGAAAAATAGCCGTTTACTAAAAAAAAATTTAAAAAAATCCTGTTGTTTAAGAGTGTCTTCAGGCTATAAGGTCAAACTGAGTTTTTATCCCCATTTGAATAAAAGATGAACAATATCTTGTAACGCAGTATTAAGTCTCTTTTCATATAATTACAAAAGTCATTTTAGTTTTCGTTATTGTTAGGACTAAACAAGCATGTTGGATAGATCCTTTTTGGAAAACTCACCGGAAAGGCCTCTAAGGAGTAAGAAACATCCTGTGTTTACTCTTCCATCGCATGTTTATAATTTATATACTAAAAACAAATGGTTATCTATACTTCTTTTCAGATAACATTAAAAATATGTAAAGAGGGGTTCTTTTGTAGGTGCACATTTTCAACTCGTTATGGTAAAAAATGTTTAATAAAGCTTTTCTCAATTCATGCATACCTACTTAAAAAAATAAGCTATTTAACATTTTTATTACAAAAAGTGTCGCCAAAAATATAGAATATTACTACATGATTACTACAAACCACAAAATGGCTCTGTTGAAAAACCCAAAGAAGCAGAGGTTTGCAACCTGCATTGAAACTTTTATGTATAATGCGACCAAACTAAATGTTGATGTTTAATGATGATACAGTTGGCGTAATTATGAACATTTTGATTTTACTGGATGGATACATCGTGTCGCTTGTCATTAAGTTAGGAACGTGCCATGCTTGAAATTGTTTAAATTCTCTTTTATTGTATTTTTTGGCGAGGGACATGATTTTAAATTGTCTTACGTTTTGTTGAAGTTGTTTTTATAAAATTAGTGATGCTGGTACGGACCTTAGTGACTCTCAAGCCATTCAACAGAACCCCCGGGCAAGTCGTGGTCTAAATCTTAATGAAGCGCTGCTGCTATTATCTCCTAAAAAGAAAAGACCAAAACAAAGTTCTTTTCGCGTATCATACAAAAATATTCTAAATATTTGCAAACATATGAAAGAAACTTGGCCAAAGGGTTCAGTATTATACAAAAGTGAAATTGCACAAAACACAGCAGAGGCCACAGGTATCTTTTACCAAATAATTAATTTACTTCATCATCATTTTCGGCGTCCTCATCTAATGTTATTTAAAATTAATCTTCATAATGGGTCATCATTATACGAAAAAACTGTTCTTTTGTGATATTTATTTATTTATAAGTAATGTCCAAAGCTGAATAAATCTATTTAGATAATTATTGTGACTATTTATCGTAAACATAACAAATTCAACAATACCTTATCTGTTAACGTGTAATAAAATGTAAAACAGAGGCGTGGTCATACTCCGTGAACTGTATAAACACATATTTCGACAGAAAAGCTGGAAAAAATACTACACACTTTAATTTAAACAAACTCACAGTATCTGTTTTCACACATCCCAATAAACATCTAGACATATGTATTTATTTTTTTCTTTTTAATATACACTCGGCGTCATAAAAATTGCATCTCCGCGAAAATAACTTTCAAGCGTTATTTTACATGACATGAAAAGGTTTCGAAAGCCTGCTTCCTTCAGCTTCTTTTTTTTAATGTTATCCGGAATAAGGTATAGTTAATTTGTATGCGGTAGAAGTAGGTAGGTATACCAGCAAAATCTCCTGATCTCGACCTATTGGGAACTGCAGTAATTTAAATTTTGGAATGAATAACTAAGGCTGTAATAACAGGCTTCTATCAAATTTGGCTAGGAAGGCTGGCAACTCGAGCAGTGAAGGTGAGCATAGACGCGCATCTCAAAAGGGCCTCCTTAAACCTAGACCTGGGTCGCAAGTACCGAGAACTGCTCAGAGCTTCTCTCTCTCCCACGTGATGGAACCCGGCACCCGCACGGTGAATCCATGGATTGCTAAGAAGTTCGTCTCTAGCGATTTAATAGTATATTTCACACCAAAGATCTCAACACATATCATTCTCTTTGATAATGCAAACCTATGGCCGGGCGCTAGAATCATGCAACGCGTACGCGAACAGTATAGGTATTATGTAAGATGCAATCTAATGAGATTGTGTATCATCTCATTTATTTAGATTTCTGACAAATGTCAAATATTTAATACTGGCTCCTTTTACATACATTTTGCCGTGCAATGGCGTAATGCATATAAAACCAATGTCTTAAATGGCAACCGAAATCGGCAGTGAGTTTTTATTCCACAGAATACTGCTAATGCATATGAGTACCTTACACACCATTATCGATGTTGAACCTTTGAAATTTCCGTTTCCACTTAGCAATGTCTTAACTAGGGGACTCGCTATGGTAATAATGGTGTGCAAGCAAACACACATGTTAACGGTACCCAATAGTAAAAAGTAAACTGGACAAACACAGCAGAATGGGTTTGCTTAACGGGCCGCCCGGTCTGCCTGTATCGGGGACGGCTCAATACAGTAACTGATCTGCAATAAAATCACACATACCTTATCATACTCAAAGTTACTCATAGGTAATCGTTATGTACGCGATGATTCTTTAATTTTCCAAATAGGAATCTGGAGGTATATAATGGAAACATTTTTGTAACTCGTTAGTTCGTGGAACGCAATTTTGCCCAAGAATGATGGGTTAAATTAGTATTTCAAATAAAATTATGTCACGGTGAGATCTGGCATATTTCTCGGTGTGAGTTTATTGTCTATTTATTTATATTATTAGGAGTAGGTGTTGGTGTTACCGACACGTCGATTCTTCATCGTTTCGGTATTATTACCTTATATACTATTAAGCGCCTAAATGTCTACATAAGAAATATGATACAGTTGCTTATCTTTATTTTCATGTGATTTTAATACATTTAAATAACAATTACTTAAAAACTACTTACTACCAAAATTAACTTTATTTTCATTGTAACTTCTGCCATTAGATATTTTAGTGAATTTGAGGCGAAATTGTAATATTTTTAATATTGATTTTACATTTTTTTCCCCTACGATTGTAATCTTTAAGTGAAGCCGCACACTAGAGTCACGGGGTACATGCACGCAACATTTACCTTGCCACAATATGCACGCTACATTTTTGCTTTCGTCTCGCTTCTAAACGCACCCGCTATAAATATGTCCTTTGGTGTGCGTGCTTACACGCAGATATACGAGGACGTTTAATGTGCCGTGTTTCAAATGTGGCGCCACAATTATCGTAATGCAATTGAATGACTGGTGTGCAGCCCGCTTAACGTGTATAGTGAACAAGTTTACGCGCCGTTGTCGTAACTTGTATTTACGCGTTTTTGAGAAATTTTCCCACTCACACGCACTCCGGATTATCTAGAAAAGTAAACGTACGTTCCACTAACTCTTTAAATATTTATCTCGTATACATATTAATGGACGGGGACATGGGAATTAGGGATCCAATATCCAACAGCGCTGCATAAGCGTAGAACATTGATATTGGTTTCAAACTTTATGTGATATTCGAATTGTTTCTAATGATTTTTAGCCAATACTACTGAAGTAACTTAGGTGTTAAGATAATAACACCCACGTCATTTAACCTAGTTCGATAAGACCAAATGATTTATATTTACATAGTCACGTAATTAATGGGGGAACATGAAATGAAGACGCTGAAGTGCAAAAAACCTGCAGGCGCTATTAAAAAATAAAATGTAGTGTGATAATACTACCAGGCTTTGTTTGTTTCTCGGAACAGGGGAGGAGTTGCACAGATCATAGATTTAACCTTTTAAGCATTTAATCTCTTAAGTTTTAAATTTCTATTCACATTTCAACTTGTTATCTAATAAAACATATACATTCACATGCTTACTTAAACATAATATATACCAATGAGTTTCCATACCATCCAGATTATTGTCTGTTCGCAAATTTACTCTAAGAAATTATCTATGCCATAAAGATAACTACTATGATTTAAAATCGTTTATTTAAAAAGTTTAACCTAAGAGCCTGCGCTGCGTTAAGTAAGAGCACGTGCTCCCGCTTAACGCAGCTCAAGCCTTTAAAGTACGGCTCGTGGCTAAGTGGGCGCATTGTTTGATACCAGTTTGTTCTCAGAGTTTTGGCTTCGATTACTTAACTGCAAATTGGAACGTGTCTAAAAGAGAGGAAATAATGATTATATGTCAACACACCTCTTGTTTGTTATTAGCATAACAACACGAAACGTGCGTGAATGAAATCTTATCCGTTATTTTTGTTGTTTTGTGTATTTTCGTGGGTACCTGACAGATGGTTGTTTTATTTTATTGTGATGTATGATGGAACAATATTTGGAAACGAACAGGTTCAAAGCTTATACGCTCCACGTGTCCGCTAGTATAAAGTAATTTATTTCTTCTTTTTAATTATATTCATAAAATGGTTTATTTCAGGCGAGTTCGATATGCGGGTGAAGTCATGCGCTGCATCAGATGGTTCGGGACACATTATACAACTGTCAGACGAGTATGGCTGTGTGCTGCGCCCGAAGATGATATCAAGGTAGATTTCATTAATTATAATCATTTCAGAGGTAATTACATCACCCTGAATAACGGGTTCGATATTCAGTGTCGGATTTAAGACAAGAAGTTTAGTCGCCGAAGATTCTGATTACAAGTTTACTGATTCAGGGATTCAGGGAGGGTTCTGAATCAGACGCTATGGACGGTCTACAGCGACAAGTGATGGATGTGTCAAGTTAAAAATGTGTGAAGAAAAAGCCCCAAATAATATTGAAAAGTTAAAAAATTGTGCGCACACGACAGTACGCGAGCGGCGACTGAGCGTCCTTAATGTAAAAACACCCTTCCGATTTGGTGTTTGAAATAGATTAAGAACGTCGGAAACCGTTCTCGTCCTAAATCGGATCCTAATGCTACATACTAAATGCTACCTTCCTAAATGAGACTTATCTGATTTTATAAACGACTGAATATCGGATCGGAGTAATATATAACAACTCCTAGAATTGAATGTAGAAGTGGAGCGAAACTGAATTGAAAACAAATCAGTTTCACTAATTTAATAATATGCTAGCTGTTTTCTTTTCAAATAATAAATTGTACGAGCCTTGAACGTGCAAGGGCACAAGGACTTACGACATATCCCTATTTTTTTCGAACTGCGACAGATCCATAACTGAAGCCAAATATTGGCATGGTGTCATGGGTCTGTTATTATCCTTATGGTTTACCTGCATAATACAATAGCAATATTTAACTTGTATTGTTTACGAACCATTTTATTTTTAACACAGCAGATTTGCACGATTTTTTTTTCTTTAATATCTGCTTCATATCAAAGAATATTTAATGCTCTCTCAACTTAGCAGGACTTAGGTATCACAAAATGTACGTGTGGGTGTGGGCCTGCATAGGCAAAACTAAATTATAGCCCAGACCTACAAGATAAAGATGACTTGCCGGACACATTTCGTTGTCATTCTGTTCGCATCTAGGCTTTACTTTCATTTAATACTAGCTTTTGCCCGCGACTTCGTCCGCGTTATCGTCGTTTTTCGTAAAAAAGTAGCATATGTCCTTCCTCAGGGTTCCGTGGTTTTGATGTGACAGACAGATTAACTTTCGTATTTTAGTAGGGAAATATAATACTGTTAAAAATATCGCAATAAGGAACCGCAGAATATTATTATTATCACTGTGCCCCGAGACCATCAGCGTGTAACTCCTTGTATGTTATTATGTTAATGTATTGGTAATATTGTTTAGATCGCTTTCACATGAGTCTTAAGTACATATAGAATGAAAATACTTCAGCGCAAAGCTTCCGGGTAGACTTCGTTGAAATTTGACCCGTCCGGAACGTGAACATAAAAAATTCTAGGATTGCTAACCCGGGAAAGACCGACATAACTGATCATGTGAAAAACAACTGACACCGAGATCTACTCCAACAACACGAAAGGTCTGCCCTTGAGCCTTATTTATTGTCATTGCATAACACACCGATACTGGGAATTGCGTTCTTTTAAATTGGAATGGAAAATTATTTGGTATTATGGGAATTCTGGGAATAAAGATGGTTTCTCCTGCACCGCAACCTATTAAAATTTGAGCCTCGATTACATTTTGTTGCAACTGGGTTACTTTAAGCCGAGTTCCATTGCAAATTTGTGGTGGTCTTAAATTTCGGAGCAGAATAATCGGAATGCCAATTTTTAAACAAATTTCATGAGAAGGAAGTACGGGCATATTTAAAGAATTTAAAAATTCTATCGGGTAATTAGTGGCTTCTTGTTCATCGGCCATTCTATTTATTGAACTATAAACTTTGCTTTCCCCCTGGATATTCGACAGTATTTTATTATTAATCTCAGATGCCTGGTCATTGCGAGGAGTTAAAATGGACCTTTCGCATAGCCAAGAATTGTTCTTATTTAATATATTTGTTACGTCACCGTAAACTGACGATGTAAGATGTTGTTGGGATTGCACTATACAACATAACTCAGGCGTCAGAATAAGTGTTCCTTGGTGTAGCAGTGGATAGGTATCTTTGGTGAAGGTATTTTCTTTAATAATATATCAGAAAATTTACGATCATCCGGGTTATCTACAGTTCCCACTCGCATGTTTATAGTCAAATAAATAGTCAAATGCACCGATTGTATATCACGCCACAAATAAGAGCTTTTCAGGCAAGCCCTAACCTCAGCAGCTCGGGTTCCCCGTGGTATTACCGTTAAGGTTTGTCGGAAATCACAACAAAATAAAACTGTGATACCGCCCATGGGTCGATCATTTTGTCTTATATCTCTTAAAGTTCTGTCTACCGCTTCTACTCCTTTTCGATGGGCCATCGTACATTCATCCTATATGATTAAATTACACTTTGAACGAATATTTAAACACTACCAAAACAACTAATACGTGGTCCTAACTTTAGCTACCTTACACATAAAATCTAAGTGACTATTTGAATTAAAATATTCTTATAGAATTATAATCAGAAATATATACAACTCACAACAAAAAAGAAATGAAAATAAAGCTGAAACGCCTGTGCAATACTATCTACCTATACCTCCTTCACTTAAAAATAAATACTTATAACTACTTTAATTAATAAAAGTACCTACGCTTAATAATTTTTAATTTGAACGAATATTTAAACACTACCAAAACAACTAATACCTGTTTTACAAAATAACAACAAAAGAAATTCAAATAAACTATTTAAAGACTAAAAGTCGCGCTGATAAGCACGGTTTCGGTCTCCCAGGCGGGGGAGCAGATGAGAAATCCTCATGGATACCCTACAGCCGGCTGCAAGGTTATGTCAGACTCGTACTGACTAAAAAACACCCGTAGGGGCTGCCTCTGGCCGGGAAGGCCTCTAAGGCTTCATCGGAAGCGATCGTCCCCCAGGGGGGGAGCGACGCAGAAAACAGATTTAGACAGCTCGCTCTCGGACCTTTGATACCCTACCGCTGCCGCGACCCGTGTCGAGCGCGGCAACCGTTACACAAAAATAATCCTTATAGTATGATTCAGTATTCACGTGCGACGGTGTGATGGCTTATTTCATGTATAAGTTTGGTGTTTCTATACCGAGTATTATAAACGTAAGAGTAAACAAATATGATCAGAATGCTCCGAACTGCTAAGCTATCAGGAGTTACACGTGTTATTGTGAGTCAACCATAAAAGATAGACATATGCTGTTGCGGGATATTTTTTAGACAATTTTATGTAGAATATTTCCGTCATACATGATTTCTATGTAACTTTAACCATTAAGGCTGCACACGCCACGGAAGCTTAAAAAATGGAGTAACTTCTCCCGTTTTCCCAACATTTCCCTTCACTACTCTGCTCCTATTGATTGTAGCGTGATGAAAAGTATACTATAACCTGCCCAGGAGTATGAAGAATAATTGTACCAAGTTTCGTTAAAATCCGTCGAGTAGTTTTTGTTTCTATAAGGAACAAACACACAGACAGACAGACAGACAGACAAAAATTTTACTGATTGCATTTTTGGCATCAGTATCGATCACTAATCACCCCCTGATAGTTATTTTGAAAATATATTTCATGTACAGAATTGACCTCTCTACAGATTTATTATAAGTATATAGATAAGGTAGGATTGACACCTATGCCACATCTTTTATCAAACAAACAATTGTTTCCAGGTTCCTCAAGGCCAAAGCGGCGGACGAGAGAGCCACAGTGATCACGTACGCTTTCTTCCACGCGTTCAAATTCCCCGATGCGCTCAGCGTTCATATCAGGTGTAAGGTGGAGATTTGCAGACACGGGTGCTTGGACCACTGTCAGTTAGCTGGCGTCACACCGCAGAGACATGGTGCCTTGGACAGAAAGGATGATAGGACTCATCAGGACCATAACGATATCAAGTAAGCATGAAACATCAAAACAATCTAACTAATTAGAAAGCTGCACAGCTGCCCAGGCTCAAGGCCCATTATTTTATTATGGTTGTCTAAAATAAAAGGAAATTTTAAACCATGTTAAGCCACATTTTATCTTCAATCTGTTTCTTCTTCTTTCTAAGTTCTTTCAATCAAAACTGAAAACCAAAAGTTACAATCACAGAGTGGAGGATAATTTTGGTCTTCAGCAAATAAAAGCAATGCAATCAGCTTCAAGTAAATGTTTTAATTTTCAGCGACTCGTCAGCCGAGGATTCCGACATCAATTATTCGGAAGAACCTCAAAGGTTGCCGCTGGAAGAAGCGTTTGGTGACGAGGTATCAGGTGATGCTGTTCCCGCGCCCGCACCGCTACCGCAACGTGCGCCCGCGCCCGTCAACGAACCTGACTCAGACCACATGTCGGCTGTCCAAGACTTGGTTGATGCTCTCGCTAGGCCGTTTACGGTGAGTATATTCGACAAATTATATCTAGGGCTGTATAAGGAGTGTTCCGTTATATAATAGGGCAGTAGAAGAAGCGTTTGGTGACGAAGTATCAGGTGACGCTGTTCGCGCGCCCGTACTGCTGCCTCAAAGAGCACCAGCGCCCGTCAACGAGCCCGACTCTGACGACATGTTGGCTGTGCAAGATCTGGTGGACGCACTCGCTAGGCCGTTCACTATCAGTACAAGTATACGAATATTTTTATTTTCCTAAATATTGGGGCTGTAGAAGATGCGTTTGGTTACGAGATGTCAGGTGACTCCCTGGCGGGTCCACCATGCCCGATAACGAGTTGGATTCCTACCACATATCAGCTAAGCAAAACTAGGTGTATGCTATGAGTATATTCGACGATTGATGTCTAGGGCAGTAGAGAAAGATGGTGACGAAATATCAGATGATGCAGTACCCGCGCCCGCTCTGCTGTCCTTAGAAGAACTGTTTGAGTAGTAGGTAACAGGTTCTTGATGTTTCATTGTACAAGGTTCGTTTAAGCTAATTGGGTAATAAATGTGGTTTTAAATAAAACTAGTTTTTCACGGGTTAATGTACGAAACGTTATTTATTTATTGACGTTTCGCAGCCTTTACAGGCTGCTTCGTCGGAATCCAATAAATAAATAAAGTTTTGTGCATTAACCGATGAAAAATTAGTTTTATTTAAAGAGTGATGTGCGTGAAAACCTAAGAAACATTTGTTTAATATAAAATAGCTGTCAACTATTGCAAGCTTTAAGGTACTATTATATCCTTCGAGTTTATCATATCAAGAACTTTCTCAAGAATTTTCAATTATGTATAATATTTTCTATTATATAATTATAATAATTTACAAGACGATACAACGTAAAATGATAAATATATATGCTTAAATCATTTTTCGATTATCTCCTTATAATTATTTATGTCTTACCTTTTCAATTCCAGGATCGCCCTTCAGACTTGAGCGAACGCGAACGTTTTCCTCAAGGACCTCGTAATCTCGATGGGAATGCTAAAATGGAACCTACTGGAGACACTGTAGTGCCAGCCAAGAAACCAGGTCCCGCCGTAGCTGGCCCCAGATCTTTGCGTAAACGCAGGACGATCCGAGACGCGAGATCTGCTGATGTGGGAGTGTCTGGAATATACGAGGTGGTGTCGGAAGCTGATCTAGCTTTTGGTCCTTCGAGGGAGCCGGTGACTGTGTTCAGCGGCAGGATTAGAGAAGAGGTGAGATTTTTTGGTTATTGATTTAATAATTGAAATATTGCGAATTATTATATAGAGTTCTATTTAAATTTTATAGCGGTTGTGAAGTTAGCAGCGAGCGCAACAATGCAAAGGTTTCAGTTCAGTGATATATCCTGTGCACACGTATAATACACCCCACATAAAATATTGTTTACTGCGCCTCGACTTGAGCTTATTTCATAATTACTAATACCGCCATCAGGTGTCATAATCACTCTATCAATTTCCTCACTGCTGGGGTACTGGATTTCCTATGAATGGGATAGGAAAAATGGACCATGAACCACCACGCGGGCCCAGTGCGAATCGGTAGATAATAAAGTGCTAATGACTGCAGATGCAGCCGGGACCAACGGTTTTATATGCTTTCTATGAGCTAGAGATGATAATTTTTCGGCTAGGGTAGCTACACACATAAGCGGATCGGCATAGTCAGTAGTATTCGTCGAACAACAAAGCCGAACCCAAGTAATTACTGCACTTGTAGCACCAAACAGTTATCTACATATGTATAGCGATTATACCGCCCGGCTGCGTGGATTAATGCCCCCCCGATTATGTGTGTTATTCTTACCCACCCAATGTCTGACTCTGCGAAATTAGTTTACCTTTAGCACCCCGTACTCGCTAACCTCATACGCTACCATCGAGTTTCTTACTTTTAGGTTTGAATCGTTCTATAAACCTACTGTTTTGTACAAGGTGGTGTACGGCATCTGCATGGGCGCTGTAAGCTTCGGCGCATTATTCGCGTCAGCAGCGGGTGCAGCGGCCGGCGCAGCGCTGGCTGCAGCCGTGCTTCTACAGCGGCTGCGGTCACGGATGGCAGCCCAGCCCGTGATATCACCCGCACCGGCGCCGGCTGCGCACTCGCTCGCCGCATGGATGGCACTGCGACTGCTCGGCTCGCCGCCCCACCCGCATCTGACGCGCGACGGCTGAAGCTGACCGACCAAATTTAGAACACTGTAACTTTTTAAAGAACTCGATTCGAATCGAAAAGAGGTCGGCTTCGTGTTTGGTGATTGTTTCTATTTTGGTTTTTGAATTTGGAGAAGAGCTACCTACCTACTGTCGCGTTCTTCGATCAACAATTCTGTAGATAACGGGTTGCATACAAAATCAAAGCTAAAAATTGTCCGCGTATGTTTAAACTTATGCAGCTACTTTCGATTCCCAATATACAAAGATAAATGTTTAAAAACAGTTTCAGTTCAACCTAATAACAACTATCTCACAAAGGAATATGGTTATAAATAACATAATGTTATTTCGCACATAAACAACAGTAAATAATAACAGTCATTGGCTAGCGAGATATTTCGTTTTGTATTAACAGAATTAATTTAAAATAAAATCTCACGCCTCAAGTGAGGCTATATTTACCGAGACGGATTTTACGCACTGGCCCGTTATCTATAGAATTGTTGATCGAAAGTCGCGTTTGACGGCCTCGAATTGAAATTGGAAAAGAGTTTCAACTTGTATAATAAAATGATTGTTTCGTTTTCTTTTTAACTTTTGAATCTGAAAGAAGTATTGTAATTTGTTGTGGTGTGACTACGGTGTAGTGCAATTCAAACTTAATGACTGCTGTGAAGGTAGCACAAGTCGCAGAGCGAAATGTAGCATGCATGGGGACTCTCATCGTTAAACTGTAACCTGCACGCATAGTGGCGCTCGCTGCTAACTTCACAATCCCCATAAAGCTTGAATCGCACATAACAGAAAGCATTTTTATTGTTTTATTTAAGAAAAACATAAAATAAATATTTGAGGCTTGCGAGTGGTGTCGTATCCTCCTAACGCACTGCACCCGCAACTTCTGGCCGTTAATTATCGAACTCTGTATCGATTCGAACTAATTAAAAAGAGGTCGGCCGACCATGTATTCTATCTTTTTAATTTTAGTAGAATTCCTATGGTGTTGTGGAATTACTCCGGTATGACATTTAGTACTTGAAATTCTAAGGTGTTTTATGCTTTATGTCCTAGTCTAGTGACTCAGATTCCAACATGTAATTTTTTTCAATTCGAATTTAGACTAAGTATTATGACAATATGTCTATATGTATTTCTTTTGAAAGTCTATTTCTGAACAGTTGTTATTATTATCAAAAAAAGACAACTTGTGGGACCTAAAATTAAGTCCTAAGCGATACCTCATCCTTCGAATAGTGTTATTTTTGACAAAATCGAGCTTCAAAATTTTATAGAGCATATTTTTAAAACTTTTATTTGTAGTTTAATGAGTCTTCATACCAGAGTCACATTATGATTAAAGCTAAATCAAACTAATATTCTAATAATGAAATTCTGATTAATCTTTATATTATCAAGATACCTGAATAAGGGGTCGCCCCTTCTAAATATTTTAGGTCAGTTGTAATATTATAATTTATTATTCCTTAAGATCATTATAAAATCATGATTATTGTGTAATTGTATGGAAACATTCAGCGTAACCAAATAGGAATTGACATTTACACGTATATTCACTATCGTCTGTATCAGCTAAAATAATTTAGCCCTTTGCTTCATAGAGTAAGATTTGCTAAAGCAAACGTTTCGATTGCCTTGAAAACGATGGTGCTATGTCGTGCTACGGACGTTGTCCTTACTGAAGGGGCTACACGCATTTTCAGAAGTCCGAAATTGAAAAAATAACTTATTTAAATATTAATAATATATAAATACAAAAGTTTGTATGGAGATATCAATCACACATAAACTACTGAACGGATTTGGGTGAAATTTGGTATGCATATAGTTTATGACCTGGATTTTCTCTAAAAAGTGTTAGGTCTCTGAGGTATTAAAAAAAAACGTTAATGCGGACGAAGTCGTGGGCGGCCGCTAGTATTATTTATAAAGGAAATTCGGTTAAACGGCTTCGTGCATTGCATTTTAATCAAAAATATTAATAAGAAGGGACATAAAAATAAAACTATAAGAAAGCTCACTTTTGGTTAGCTTTTATTTTTCCACTCCAATTATTCCAAGATTTTTTGAGGTTGCTTTCATCTCAGAAATATTAACAATATTTTTATTTTTTCGCCTTTTTGAAAATGCGATTAACCCATTTCTTCCACTCTTTGTGAGTATTAAATAAGTTAGATACTTATACCGATAAGTTTTGTACAGTATACCCATTTTGTTTTTTAACTTATAATCATCGTATACTTAGGGGGTAAGATTAAGCGTTGAGTCATGCCATTAGGTTAAGTGTACTTAATTCTTACTTAGGCGAGTTAAACATGACTTGCTCAAAATAGGCTTTATTCTTTATTTTTATATAACACTTAAACATACGGTTATAGACATAAATTATAATAAATATAAATATTTTTTTATCTATAAATCAGTTTATATTTTTCTAAACTGTAGCAAATTTGTTAATAAATTTAAGTCTTTAATTTTAAGATATTCTATGTATTTACACAATTTCAAACTCATTAGAGTTTGGAACTTTTGACACATTATTTTTTTACATATAAATATGTTTTCAAATTAAAACACCAATGACCTAAAATGTAGAGTAATAATTCTGTTGAAATAGTGTGCGGTGCCTATTTTTGTAATACAATGTCTGTATGAAAAATGTAGGCAAACAGCTTTTTCAAAATACAAGTTTTCTTAGTAAAGATCATTTTAAATTTAATTTTTTATTTTTATAAACTATATCATTCAGTTTCATATCTTTCAGTTTTCTTTGAGAAAGAAAAAATGAATAACGGCTGAAGTGTATTTTTAAAAGATATTGATAATATATTTCTAGACTAAGCCAATAAGTAATTGAGAAAAAAACAATACTGGCACTTGATATGGGTATTCATAATATGCTATTTGTTATTTTGACAACAGGTTGTTCTTGTCATGAAAAGGAGAGTCCGTTGCCAAGTTTACAAATAAACTAAGAAAATATTAGAAATCTTGACAGCAGTCTCTCCTGTGTAGCAAAATTTGTTCTTTAATAATAACAATTTAATTAAAAAACCACAAGTACAGCATATCAGGTACTTTTGAATTTGAAGTTTACGTCATAGCATTAAGTCATATTATTAAATAACAAACGAAAAGCAATGTCAACAAAGATACCTCATCCTTTGAGTAGTGTTACTTTTAACACATTTTAAAATTTCTTCATTAAATTACAAAGATAATATTTATCCAATTAATGAGCGATCGGATTACGTAATGAAATAAAGATTTTCAAGAATTAGGTATCCATAAAAAATCAATTTTATATCAACGCAATAACATTTTTTTTTTCGTTAATTTTTTTATATCTTAAGTTTGTCTTTTACAAGTCGTCTAAGATAATTGTTATGATAAACATCAGTTTCATTTTTTATTTATGTATTTGATAATAACATTTAATTTAATATTACCGTGGCTTAAAAATAGCGCATAAAGCCGTCCATGTAGTATAATATCAATAATTAAAATTATTAAAGCTCAAAAATATCTTTATATTAACTTATCTAATGCATTGTATAATTTATTTTAAGGACAACTTTTTATATTTTTAACATACTTAAGGGTTGATTTTCAATCCCTGGATAAAATTTATTCGTCTGATATTAAATTAAACGAACAAATGAAAGTTGTGTTAATTTGTAATGAATTTTTGCTATTTGCTTTTTATTTGTTTAATTTTCGACTGACAAGTTTTATCCGTGAAGTGAAGACCTGAATCGAATTCATTCAATCATTTAGAGAATAGTTAAGCCTATTTAACAGCAATTTATAATATAATTTACTTTTACACCAATGATTGTTGCATTTAAATAGATTCCATTTACCCAGCTTTGCATTTACAATGCATTTGATTCAAAATAATGTTTTTCCTATTTTTGCTCAAATGTTAGTAAATAATACATAGTTTTAATGGAAATATAGCTATGACTAGTTTAGCTTTAGTACTTAGTGGTGCTGTTTGAGAAATTGAAAATATCACGGTTGACTAATGTTAAATCGATACTTGATGACTTTAATCATTCGATTTGGGATTAAGTATCGAAAGTATAATGAACTGTTAATCCGTGTTTCGTTTTTATGTAAGTAATACGACGTAGCCACCCAAATATATTTTTTTTTATTATATAGCGAGACTATTATAATATAACGTAGGTTATGCTCAAATGATTTTGTTAAGAAACTTAATAAAAACAAAGTTTTAGCGAGTGCAATTTTTTCATATTTAAGTATATAAAAAAAGTATTTTTACACAATTGTCTAGATTATTTTGTTCTAAATGGTTATGGTGTTTGTAAAGTTATTCCTCGTAACATATGAGCGGATAAAATTGTAAATAAAATGTCGTGGTGCTTTTTGACATAATCCTTGTACAATATCATACATGTTTATCTATATGGAGGCAGTTTTATTTCGTGAAAAATATATTATTTATTTTTTTATCTTGCATGCAGGACACAGAGGACGCAATTTTTTATGTCAATAGTTTATAAAAAATACATCCAAGAGGAAGAAATATTTAGAAGAAAATCGGAGACTTGCCCAGATGGGAGAGTTGAACCATCTTCCATAATCATTGTATTTCAATTTAGCGCAAACAAAGCGCAAGTCAAATGCGAAACTGTTTGGTTGTGACTGAAGTATTGTTTGCGCTTAATTTTAATAGTAATTTTAAAGATGATTCAATCGCCTACCTGAGCAAGTCTCCTGGTTTTTCCCTATTAGTTTTTCGATTTACTGAAACTTTAAGGGCCAATGGTTCGTGGCCGTGGTCTCTTTTCGTCAGTGAGAAATGTCACGTAAACCAATATATTCTGTCTCGTCTTTTGTTTTCTTATGATAGGTGATTTCGTTTTAATTGTTATCGAACCGCTAGTGAGAATGAGCGGCGATGTCAATAAAAAAAAACATTACACTATCACTGAAATTAGTAGCGAAAATTTTTGTATAACTATGAGACAGAGAGATGACAGCGCAAACGTACTGTAAATTTCTTATAATTCGTAATACTGAAAAAAACGAAGCTTTATAGCGTTTTATCAGTAGCACATCGCACCTACTTTCGCTATTCTTATAACCATTATCTCTTATCGAAGGGAATTAATTAATTGATTATGTATTTTTAGTTTCCCCTGCGGATATGGTGGCAAAGTGTTTGAAAAGTAAGCACCTGTTAATATGTTTAATGGAATAAAATGTATGTTGAATGTGGCCTTGTGTTTTCTTTTCTGCTTACACTACAAAAAAGAAAATATTACTAAAAAAACACGCGGACCAGGCAGCAGACGGGACTCGAACCCGCACCCTTCGTTATCCGAGCGAATGCACTGACCAATTATTGTATCGCGGCCCTGTCGGCCGTGTCGAATTCTTTCTAGCCTTTCTTAATCCGCAAGGCAGCGCCATCTCTTCGCATTGTAGGTAACCTACAACGTCAAATGAAAACCTTTACAAGTATTCAACATTTGAAAGAAGAAATAGCAATTATAGTTATAACTTTTAATTTTTAAGCATGTAACTGCTCGATGTTTAAATCTAAAAAAAATATTACTAGAAAAAATTAACCTGGTCCGCTTGGATTTTTTTCTAGTAATATTTTCTTTAGATTCCAACATTTAATTGCCAAAAAAAATTAAAAATTTTACTTTTTATATTATTTTAAAGAAATTACCCGCCGACTTGAGGGAGCCAAAACATATATTAAACATTCCAAATGCTTAATAGCCCATATATGTAGACGACGAAATTTTATCAACACACGATGTGGTCCCGAAAATTACGTAAGCTATCGCAGGCGATAGCTTACGTAAGTATGGACCAGGGTCCATACTTACCATTCGTGACAAATTTGCTCCAACTCAAAATGTGACAATGACAAACGTAATAGACCATCTTGGAATGTATTAAGACATTGTTCTGTTTATATCTGGGCGAATAATACTTACACACATCATCATATCCTGTCCAAGGATCTCGACGTAGATGACTACATCCAGTGCTGTCCCGCAGCCTCCAATTTATCGTCGGTCCATATGTACCCTTAGCGCAACCATTATTGAGTTCGAATAGTTTGCGAGTCCGAAATGTCATTGTCAAATGTGTAATGATATTTAGTTTTCGTTATGGATTTTGTGGCGCTGCTGTTCAAGTTTTCATACAAAATTTGACATTGACATTTTGCACTTGCAAACTATTTGAATTCGATAGTAGTTCGTACTAGGGGTACTGTACCCCTAGCACGAACCAATATCGAATTCGTATCGTTTGCGAGTCCGTAATGTCATTATCAAATGTGTACTGATTTTTAGTTCACGTTACGTACTTTGTGCCGCTGCTGTTCAAGTTTCCATACAAAAGTTGACATTGACATTTCGGTTTGCAAACTATTCGAATTCGATAATGATTCGTGTTAGGGGTACTGTACTCCAAGTACGAACACCTAGCGAGAAAGTATTCGTATGGCCATGTCCAAGTTTCTATGTAAAAAGCGAGATTGTTCTTACGACCGTTAGGGGCACTGCTTATACTTTCCATAGAAACTGACGTTGGCGATACGAATAAGGATCTGTCTAACTTTGTGCTTGGGGTACTGGTGGGAGGACCTACCCACTGAGCGTCGTTTCTTATATTAGAAACACAAACTTCTAATTAATCCATGGATTCACTGTGTGTGTGCTGGGTCATCGTGTAGGAGAGAGGGAAACTCTGAGCAGTTCCCGAGACTTGCCACCCAGGTGTTGGTTTCAGGGGGGGGCCATTTGAGATGCGCATCAACGCTCACCTTCACTGCTCGAGTTGCCCGCCCTTACTAGCCAAAATTTAATAGGAGCCTGTTAGTGCAGCCTTAGTTACCCATTCCAAAATTGCATTGACTGCAATTTTCCGGTATACCTTCTTCTACCGCATATACGAGTAAATATATTGTTTTAAACTTCCATTGTCACTAACATTACAGTATTTTATGTTATTTGCGGGATTGTTACCATGTACCGTGTTTTAAACTCGCTAAAAACAAGGAACATGGTAACAATCCAATAAATAACATACATTAACTAGATAGCAATTTTTAGTTAGTTCGTTAACTTTGTTTGGTTAGATTTAGTTTGGTTTTATTTACGTGATACAGCAACTCAATAAAAATGGTTTCGATGTCAAAATTAAAAAAAAAATACATTAATTTAGTGAAAAGCCCTAGAGACCCTTTACATTACTATAGTGACAGAAAATCGAACTCAACCAACTTGCGGTTTGAACACATTGCCTAGAAGCCACAGGCGTTCTATACATTGCTTTTGTAATATGATCAACATTAACTTTTCTTTTTACAGTTTTTTGTCTTAAATTTTGTGTATACGTCTAACTGTTACTGTCTAGCAAATAAAGAAATGTTTGTTTGTAGTTCACTATGCATTTCTTTCGGTAATTCAGATAACTTAGTTCATAAAATTTTAATTTTAGATTAACTCTATCTTTGATATTGAGTGCTGCATTCAAGTGAGAACTTGGTGTTTCTAAAATGGTACATTGATGCAATAAAACATAATTAAGCTACTTCCGTTGCTTTTATTTTTTCAAATTATTTTCTTTATTACAGAATCATCGACACATCACATTGGGGATGAAGGTAGGTGTGCATTCACTACATTCGCAGACACTACAACATTGAACAACTTACATTATACTGAGGATAATCAATTCATATAACAGTAGATAGAATTTGTAACAAAAACGAAGAAAACAAAACTAATAACATTAAAAACAGGCGAAGAGGTACTCAGGTGGTATAAAAATAAATAAGGTAGTAATATGACTACGATGACGACTTAACTAAAATAAATAATATTAACACTAATGACAAGTTATTTTAAATTATACTCTAGCGGTTCACCTAAATGTTGATACACCATATACATAAATATTTTCCGTTGCCCCTTATTCAAATGAGTGAGAAATTCGAAAAGAGGTAACAGAAGATTGTACTTATCATACATTTAATACTTACTACATTTGTGTATACATTTTCTCGATTCAAATAATTATTATTTAGATGATCGGAAGTTTATAAGCCTCGCTTTAAATATCCACGAATATTATTGAACCGTACCCAAATAGGTACACATAGGAAACAATTCAACTAAAGTTTCTGATATCGTTCATATTTGTACTGATATAATAAAAATCAAATAAAAAATAACATAATTATTAATGATTTCACAACATCAGTAACTATTTTTGATTGAGCACTGGCATAACACACAAATAAATAAATTGGCATGATCTAAATACTTCAGTCTCATCACACTAATATGTACAAATTGAGTTATAAAGACGTTGTTATGAGTAGAACCGACTTTTGGAAATTACGTGAGCGGTGGGTGGAGGGTGCGGTCGGGCTATCGTTGCGATTGTAGCGGTCTTCTTTTTCAGTGAGGTCATGGGACGTAATTTTATAAATAATACAGCTGATACAGCGCAAGAACACAGCAGAGTAGCTAAAAGCGCTCCCAGCGTTGCAGCAAAACCAGGCGTGGTCATACACACGAGCCCAGGAGTAGGGACAATCCTAGGCGCAGTATTTTCTTCTGATGAGTCCATATTTAAGTCTCCAGCAGATACAACTCGAATAACTCTGTTCACACCTACTTCCTTTTCAGGGGATGTAGCTCGTTTCTGCCTTCTCACACGCCGTTCGTCCCTTCTGGCTTCGGCTCCTACTGGGTAAGCATCCAATTGAGGGGGTCCATACTCAGCATGTGGTGCGATAACATTGTGAGCACCATCCGAGCACTGCTCTGGGCATCGATATCTGCAAATCTGTATAGTACACTGGAAGTGCACTTCCATGGAATCGGGGAACTTGAAAGCTTGGAAATGTGCGTATGATAGAACGCTAGCACTAGCACCGAAGTTCTTTATTTTTGTAAATCTTGACATCAATTTCGGTCTGGTTACACAACCCCGCCTATCGACTAATTGTATAGGTGCGCGTTGACCATCATGAGCCACACAATCACGAACAAGCATGTCGAATTTCGCATCGTCGTCCTTGATTGCTAGCACCATTGTCATCGTTTGACCAATCTTTACTAATCCAGATACTTCAGAAGCCCAAGGACCCTTACCAACCTGAATCTGCATCCAGCAACCTACATTATCACCAGCAAAGTCGGCTCGTACAACATCTAGCATATCGACAGGGAATGGCCTGAATGTAACTGCCTTTTCGTACTGGTCATGCCATGTGCAACGGAGCTTACGAGCTTGATCCCAAACTTCCTGCACTTGTGGGTCGTATTGTATAACGATGACGTTTTCGAAATATGTGCCAGCTGCTGCAACGTCCCCTCTGTATCTTGGATCACCGCTACCAGCTGTGCCGCAAGCATGGGCTCCAATTTCAAACGAAGCTGATGACCGACCTAGATTGGGTGGGAGATGGACGCATTGGTGGTTTGAATAATGCCCTTTAGAGAAAACTATACCGAAGAATGGTTTGTCGAAGCTTAAAAAGACACGCATAGCATTCTTTTCGCATTTAACATCTAGCGAGACTATTTTGGGCATATCGGGTGCAGGTGCAGGCCAGACATCGCCGGCGCCGCTAAAGACCTTATCACTGGCAGAAGTTTGGGCATCAGCAGGAGGTGCTGGTGGAGGCGGTGGTCCCCGGAAACCTGGCCCGATGTCGTTCTTGTGGTGGCTTACTGGTCCTAGTGCAAAAGGCTTTGAGTGGATCGCGTGATGGTTAGGAATCCTTGGCATGCCTGTAATGAAAACAGCTCAATTAAGCAATTAAAAGTTTTTGATAGCAAATTTTAGTAAAGATAGAGATAATGCAATATTAAAATGAAAATCTGTAACTGATTTTGTGCACATTCGTGTGTTTTTTGTTCTGTGGTAAAGAAAATACATATTTTTTATTGTTATTTAAAGCTGATATTATTACTAAGCTTGAGGCTTAATCATAATGCTCTTTACTATATTTATGACATCTATCATTTTAGTTCTTACTGAGCTTCCTCATTTCATAGTAATATTTCGTCTGTAAAGTTTTTTTTTAAATTTGTCGTTGCAATTTATCATTCAAGTATCGGGCGCTGTACGCATGTGTAATCTAACCTCTCCGCTAACCCCCATCAAGAGGATCACCTCTGCGAATCATCGCAGACGGCTCCGCAGCGTTGCTGGAGTCTGCACCGGTGACATATTATTCAAGTTTTTACCTAAAGGGTGATGAGGCTGATGGTGCGGTGGATTCTGTCGCCTGTTATGCGGTAGAGGCGCGGATGGAGGAGAGCTTTACGCGTGGCTCTAGCCACCTAGACCTCTAGGTCTCCTTCTCCCTTGACTCGATGGCGAACTGGTCCCCGCAGATGCGTCCGCAGGTTGTACTTATTATTTGAATATTTACCTAAAGGATGATGAGGCTGATGATGCGGTGGATTCTGTCGCCTGTTATGCGGTGGAGGTGCCGGTGGTGGAGGGCCACTGTACGCATGGCTCGGGGTCTCCCTCTCCGCTGACTCCATGGCGAGCTGGTCCGCAGACGGCTCGGCAGCGCTATTGGAGTCTGCACCGGCATTGCCGCCGCCACCGCTCTCGTTAGACGATTGGTCGCTTAGAGTTTCGCTCTGAAATGTTTAAAGAAGCTCCATCAGTATCTGCCATTTCAACGTTTTTAGTTGTTTTGTGATTAAGAATGCTTTCATTGATTTTTTTTCGACACTGTAATAATATAATATTTTGCAATAGTAGTTTCTGCGACTGTCTTAAAAGAAGGGGTATTAATACAAGTGAGTCTGTTAATCGTATGAGGTGAAACCGAATGCCATACTAGGTTGACTTGAGTGGTTTAGGGTCCCCGAAAACACGATCGTTTGAAAATTGTATGGAAAGCGCGGGAAAGTGTGCGCCTCTTTTTTTACATTCAGCCTAATACCATGGCCTTACATTACATAGTAACTTAATCAATTGAAATAATAAGTATATTATAATGATAAAAAAGTTATTTTACGATACAGCTCCAGTACTAGGTATAATGAGTTTTATTTTTAATTTTATATCTGTGCGACGACATCGCGTACGTACTTTATATAAAAGTACGTCTTTATAAAACCAAACCATCTTCAGATTCGTAATTCGAATATTTCGACGTGAGTGTAGATAAATATTGTTACATAATTTAATGATGTAAAGTCTTTTTCGCCAGTTTTTCTCCCCAGCTAAAAAATGTGCATAACAGGTGGTAGGGAAAAAAAATTTGGACTTTTCAAAACAGTTGTATTATGCTTCCTATTTTAATTAAGAAATTTTGACTTTGACGTTGTCTTACTAAACTTGCTCAAAATTGTATGGTAGGTATTATTTAACCTATACGAATGAGTATGTCTAAGCTAATCAGAGTATTACAAAAAATATTTTTACTTCCAGGCACAAAGTATTCTTAGAATTTCAAACATAATAGCGAAACGTCATGAGTTATCAAACATTTTCTAAATCTATTTTATGCTAAACAATCAACCACTTTTTCTTTTACTCATGCATAGAAGCCTGGATTTATTGCTATCACTTATTAAAACGCGTTAATTGGCTTGGAGCTTGTACGAACATTTTAATCTCACATCTTATTCGAACAAACTCGCCTTTTATCTTTACCGACAGCTTTCACTGCCGCGCGGGCCATATTTTAAATGTTATTTAATACGACACAGTAACCTTTTTATACACCTGTATAAAATGTGACAAGTCTGGTAAATACTAATTCTAGGTCGGTAATGTAATATATTTCTGGTCCTACTACGACGACATCGAGTGTGAAAGTTGTCAGAATCTGGTTCCCAATTTCGTTTAAATCATCTATCTCATGGTCGCTCTGCTTCTCAAATATTTTCCGACGGACTGGTTTTGAGTGTCAAACGATTTCTTTGAATTAGATACATTATATCCGTTGCTTTTATTTTTACTAAACCAATAATTCCTCATTTTTTCCTCATACAATTTTTGCGCATTGGTAAGAAAGGCTGGGCAGAAACCGGTGAAAGCAGATCGTCCGCTCCAGATGCAACCCTGACGTTGACCGCGATCCTGAGCCATAAGGAACCGTCACCAGAGAGACACTGATAAATTATTAAGACAGTCCAATCAAAGGACATTGCTCGTTCCCCATACATTGAATGCCCTAGAACGCCCAGCAATGAGAAAATGCTAGTTGTGTTCGGAATCATTCATAAACTCTAATTAGGCATTTGTTGAGATACGGACAACTTGAGGAACCGTGGCCTACTACAGAATGTATTTGATTTTGAGGTTATAATTATTATACTTAATCGTAAAAGATGTACACTTTATATATTCTGAATAGATTTAGTGTTTACCTCTATGTAAGCACTTAAATAATATGCATTAAATGAACATAAAATGCAATTAATAATAAAAATAATAAATGCTTAAATTCATATTGATTAATGAGTGTTGTCAGTTGGCACCTACGATACCTATACCTTACCTGTAGTAATAATAGATTTCTTTTCAAATGAAATGTTCAGTCTTTCCATTTACGTGTTTCTATATTTTACTATCGGTAATTAGGTATGTACCTGGTTATCATTATGATTTTCATAAAAATAAACAGATACCTATTACATGGGATGGGAGCATAAACTATCTTTACATAATTTCAGAAATAATCTTTTTATAAATATAATACTAGTAATAAGTATTATTAACTAAGGTATCTCTATTTTTCTTTAGATAAATACCTATGGTCGCCTCTAATGCATTTATTAAGGTAAACAATCTTGGCACAACTTTTTAACAGAATCACCCATTTAATAATAAAATATTAACGAAGCCAATAAACTATTAAAATAAATCGTTATTATAGACTGAAACCTTTTGAATCCAGTTATCAGTTGATTTTTAATGCTGTTTTTTCAATAAAAAGAAGTGCCAAGTTGGATGAATAGACTGTAGTATCTAGTAACAGAACTTTAATTTTTTATTTTTTTAAACAGATTGTCCGTTTACTATGATTAATTGCTAATATGTTAAAAAAATAATAAAAAGATAATAGTGAAGGACATTCTTTTGGGCATGCTAGGGCCGATTTCGTCGATGTCCTTTCCTCAGTTATGGCAACTTAAACTTTATTAAACAATCTCGTAAAACAAAAGAGCAATAATGAAACATTATAAGTGATGTATTTTCAAGTAGTTGTTTGTTTGCTAATCACTTATGCAAATGGCTTAGTAAATAAAATTGGATTAGTGTCACCAATAGAAAGTTTTAATCAAATTACTATAAGTACGCCCTTGCGATTTTCTGTACACGTTTGATACTGTGGGTGTTGACATCCATCCGTGAACCTACCATTAACGAATCGTCAAGACTTTTATAACTCTCATTTGTTTCGCCTCGAGGTAAGAAATTAGAAAGTATTGCTACATTATACTCGTCGGGGTTTTATTTTATTTCAATAAGATTTATGATTGACCGTGAAGACTCCACCTTCCCAGCAATTATGTTAGATTGGGAGCCCGGTGGATAACAAGGAAGACCGATTGTTACCCGGATTGGGCAATAAAATAAATAGGAGAAAGTTGGACGGACTGAGATCTCGATGTTTATCTAAATAATAGAGCATCGGCCACTTTAATTCACTGAAGAATTTCATTTTAATATACGTGACTCAATAGCTCTAATAGAGATGAGGATTCTTTAAACTATTTTTAAATTATAATACTTAGTTTGGACGCAATCATGAGGTAGTTGTAAAGTTTTGTCAGCGCTAGAAAAATTGATGCAATCTAATTTTCGAGGAATGCCAGCACGAAGCTTTCATTAATTGATGAAAAAAAAACCTTAAAATGTAAATTTGAATATTTTTGGATTTCTCCCAGCACATAAATCGACTCGGCCAGCATCATTGCGTTTCATTAATTTCATATCCTGTCTATTAATTTAGGCATTATTAATAATATATTGTTTCGATTTTACGTTTCTTGGTAATATTTTTTATTCATGTTTTTTATGAAAAAATATCATAACTCTTTAGGGTCATCTGGAGAGTTACGAAATGCCAAAACTGAATGCTTTACTTGTATTAAATTTGTCCAAAGAAAATGTTTATAAGAAAAAGTTGAAACGGCCAAGGTTAGACTGGTTAATAATTTTCAGTGAGTAGATAAATAATACTCTTATGTAAAGGACGTACAGATATATGTAAAATGTAAAAGGATGTATTACATTATGTTTAAGGAATGACTATCGTCAAAGGCTTTCGAGTGGTCTAGACATACAATTTACCGTGGGTATGATTACATGATACCTGCGACAGTTGAAGGAGTTCAATGTCAAATTGCTGTCATTTCATAACTTTCATTTGACTGCATTCTGGTACAAATTAGCTGTTAGCAATATTGTTAATGTGAACTGGAAGTAGACTTTCCTAAGAAAGTTTGTGAAGTTAGATATTTCTATAAGCGATGTAATTGCATCTCTTTGAATAGTATTTATTTATAATATCGTTTTTTTTATCTTACAGATTAATTAAAATTATTGAAAAGTAACCATGCAATAAATACTACGTGATAACAACAAACAAAAATGTTTCCATTGCTTGGTATGTTTTCATCCCAGTTAAATAATTTAAAAACTAAACTAAACGCTTTTCTATAAAATTACATTTAATTACATGTTGTTAGTTTAATAATGTGTATTTATACACTCAAAGCAATTTTGTTAGCCTTGCATCCAGAATAGTGAATATTCAATTTCGTAAGTAATTGATATCAAGTACGTTGAAACATGTGATAGTTATTTAATCCTGAGACATGTCTTGTCATGACTCACTCTCTCAAGTATCTTTTGACATCAAAACAATTTTCTATTTGTGCTCTCTCGTAGGACTCATGTTCAATGTTTGCCTCAAAGCATTGATCGTGAGTAAATATATAATTGTTTTTGTTTTAATGAAATGCAAGTTCGAGTCCCGTCTGCTGCCTGGTCCGCGTGGTTTTTTTTCTTGTAAACTTTTCTTCAGATTTAAAAATCTAGCAGTTGAATGCTTAAAAAATAAAAACATAACTATAATTGCTATTTCATCTTTCAAATTTTTAATACATGGAAAGGTATTCATTTGACATTGTGCGTTACTTATAATGCGAAGACAAGGAGCTGCCTTGCAGCCTAAGGCTAGAGAAAAATTAACACTGCCGTTAGGGCCGCGGTAGCATAATGGTCAGTGCATTCGCCCGGATAGCGAAGGGTGGGGGTTCGAGTCCCGTCTGCTGCCTGGTCCGCGTGGATTTTTTTCTAATAAACTTTTGTTTAGATTTAAACATCTAGCAGTTAAATGCTTCAATCAATCAACTGCCTATCTTAGTCCACTGCTGGACATAAGCCTCTCCAAATACACGCCACTCTGATCGATCTTGGGCTATTCGCATCCAGCTCCTGCCAGCCACCTTGCGCAAATCGTCACTCCATCGCGCCTGAGGACATCCTACACTACGTTAAATACTTAAAAAATAAAAACATAACTAATAATAAATATTTGTTCTTGATGACATGTTTAATTTTCAATATTGCATCTCCAAATGAGAACACACTCATCGGTGCTACCAGCTGACAG